GGACCGATTTCGGGGAAAATATTTTTAGGTGTGCGCCGGCCGCACACCTACCCCGAAATCGGTCCGATTAAAAAATCTCTTCATCGTTTGTAAAATCGGCTCAGCGCGTCGCCCTCCGATAAACACCCGCACACCTAGGATAAAATTTGTTATTTTGTTGATGGTAGGCACCATTTTGAATTTCATGTGACACGGGCACATTCAGCTATTGGCTGTTCAAAAAATCGCTTCAAAATAATCGGTTCAAAATCAAACATGTTTGATTTGGAACGATCACCCGATAAAAATAATCGTAAGTAAAATCGTCTACAAATCGACACCTACCCGATATCGGCTGATTTTTATCGGGCCTATCAAATCGCGTGATAAATCGGCTGGTGTGCGCCAACCTTTAGACACCTGATCTTTAGATCGGCAGTAAATTTAAACTAGCTGTTAGTCCACTAAGAACGGAGATCGATCAATAATAGCATATAAAATCTAGACCACTCCTACAAGAAGTTTCTTACTGGAACTATCGTGTAATGACTTGAAATGTCACCAATCTGCCCTTTGACCATTAAATAGCACTTTGGTACTAAAGATGATACATGGCAAACACTATGGTTATTTACCTCGCATACGAGTTGTGCATGTAGGTGAAACTGCAGTGAGTTGTGCCACAATTGCGGGAGTGCGCTACAATGATACTACAGTACGCTAATGGAAACATTGCATACATTTAAGCTTCAGCATTAACCTTTAGTTTTAACTTAAAGGTATTATTTCAGATAGCGCACATCAATGCATTGGAATTCTGAATACCGACCAACTATAGCTAGATTTGTGGTAGGCCTACTATTGTTAATGCACTGACAAATGGGTGCATTTTTTATATATATAAATATTACAATGTATACAAATTGCACGTACAATAAACAATGTTTCTACATTGTAGGCTACAGTCAAGCATGAAAGAATCTAGATAAATTGTAAATAGTGATTTAATTCAATATTGAGTAGATATGGATGTTGATAGTTGATGACATGATCACAATAAAGACAGTGCCTACATACAGTGTCAGGTACATTTAATGGTCATTCATTATTAGGTAAACCAGACAATTCTTCAACATAGAAAATGTAACCCTGCCTATCTATCACAGTTGTCTGTAAATAAAAGTAAGAGAACCATGAGGTATTCCTATTACGTTTTAAGATTCAGATCTTCCAATTCAATGTTAACATGGTTTCGCAAAACGTTTTTACATTTTAAAATACTACAGGTACAGCAAAGCATTAGGTTTCTGTGAATTACTTCAAAAGCACAAGAGCTTTCAGCTAATGGCCTGTTTCACAGACTCCATGGATATTTTGCATTAAACCAGACATGTAAGATGATGGTGCTTAGTTAACAGCTCGAAATTTATTACATTGCAGAGAAAAGATTCTCATGCTTCAAACGATATTTTACATGAGCAAAATCAATACCAGCTTGATTTTAAATACATGAAGTAAAATCATTTTCCATCACTGCTTTAATATCACTGACTAGCTTCTAACAATGCTAACTTAAATCTCTGGCTCTAATTACACCTGCAAATGAGGTTATTAATAGAGTCCAGTACTGAGCCAGTTCTGTACAGCATTGATCATCACTTATTATTTTTAGACTGTATTACACCATTCTTGTGTTTACATCTATCAATACCAGCGCACTCCATAATGGTAGACAACATAGGCACATACACCAACAGCTGCCGAGAGTGCCCAAATGGCAGCTCCTCTCTTACTAATAAACCTGGGCGTTATGGACAAGCTTGGTCCTATATTACGTCTTCGCACAACCTCCTTGTTCTCTTCATTCTTTAGTTCCAAACTGCAATTAATTACATTAACAGACTGCATTAATATTTGAGCACTTCAATTGATTCAGCTGAAATTGAAATCAAACAAATTCAAAATAAATATTATTGATTAGGTTGTAAATGCAAACAGATAATAAATTAACCTTGACTGTAATCTGTAGGCCCTAAGCATTAAACTCAAACGTATCATTCCATAGTCAAATATGCCATCGGCCTGCCATCTCTCGGGAGAAATAATTCACAAGCTAGCGTCGCAATATTTTAACAGCTCTATACACCATTCATCCATCAGATTTTTTCTCTATGAAGAAGGCTGCATTTAGTACATGTATTTTTCATATTTTTTATATGTATATGTATGAATTTAGTATATTTTGCGTATTTGAAAAATATGCAATAAAGATTTAATAATAATACTAATAAAAATAATAATAATATAGTTGTCTGCATAGACATTCGCCACAGAGAAATGTACGAATAAATAATTGAAAAAAACAACCGCGCTGCACACCTTACATGGGAGTATAGTTAGTTAGTCTTCATTGTATTGTGCAATAATGGTACCTACTAAATTTTACGTTTAAATAGTAGACAGATAAATTCATTAAAGGCTACAAGTCATGAATACGCAAAGGTCAATTGCATAATACTTAAAGCTACAGGTAATAGTACACACAATACTACGTACACACAATAACTCAATAACTGTTAAACCACTAACAAGTAATTAATTATTTTACTTATTTATTACACCTTAGCTACATTGTTCCTGTTTTAAAAACAAACAATGGATCTGCTTAATATTAGACTTAGAGAGTTCCCAAACATTCCCTCAGACATAGTAGCCCTAGCAGTCGCATGCCTACGTGAAAGTGTACTACGTACTTTTTTCTGTATAGTATCACTTCTGGCTCCAGATCTGTTGGGGGATAAGATATGAAAAGGTCTCCAGCGATGGTGATGAGTCGTTCAAATGGCAGGTCAGCAGGAATCTTTGACAGGAGGTGATGGACCATGGCCATGTCACACTCACACTCCAGGATCTCAGACTCACGGTGTAGCACTATCTGCAGCCAGAAGAAGTAGAATATGAGATGATCACAGAAGGCAATGGCATGATATGCGCGTGTGGCACTTCAGTCTATGCTGTTACCCACCACATCATGACAAAACTATGTTATTTGCAAAGATACATGGCTATCGTTACATAGAATGTGCGTGCGTGCGTGCGTGCGTGCGTGCGTGCGTGCATGTGCACATATCAGTATACGGAATTCATAAAAACGAATCGCATGCAAGTTCAAGCAATTTTAAAATATCTATTGTGAACGTTCCACGACACTATATATTATATAAGAAAGTGTAATCTTCCTACTATCGAATGTTTACCGTGCGTTATATCTATATCGTCTACTTTAGTAACGTGTGTGTGCGTTGTTGACTCATGCATTATACCTCAGAGTTTGGCGTGCCCTTCATGGCGATGACTCGTGAATTCACCCAGCGCCGATCATTTACAGACACGTCACCCTATCACCGCACAGACACACAGTCGTGATAAACTCACGCAACTACACTGACTGCGGTACGGCAAATGATTCCCCACGGAACAGCGCGAGAAGAAATACGTGTATGTGTGTGTGTAAATATATACACACATATATATATATATAGTAGCCCAACTTACTACGGATGCTCGCCGGGCCGCACTACCATTCAGCATGTTTGCTTTGGAGGCGCGCGCGTCAAGGCGGGTTATTTATAGGTGAACGGGGCAGAACGCACTCATATACCCTTCAGGATCCTTCAGGGTTTTCGGGATACAGATGCATGAACATATGTCTATGCATACGTTCGCGGATGCTAACGGAACGGGTTTCCGTATCCGGTAATTCACTCTAAATCAAATCTATGCGATCATTTAAAATAGGAGGGTGACAGGTGTAGGTGCATGGAAATGCGGGGAATGATGTAGAATGACGTACGTCGATACGAGAGGTGAACCATGCCAACAGGTTCAAACACTTTTGTACCTGAATGTGTTTGCACTTGTCACGGGTTTGGCCCTGATCGTAGCAGGTTTGTTATCGCATATAAGGGCAAGTGCAACCGGAAAAGTAGGCGAAAAACGGTTTTTTATCGCCATCTTATTATCGGTCATTTATGTCCAGGGACGAATCTGGGATGAGTCTCAACCTAGGATCCCTATTTCGGAAGCCTGGGGCCTGAGCTGTTTTGTATGTTGCAGATATCTTTCTCAACTACTTCAAAATAGAAAATATAATTAGAACCCATGTCATTGCAAGTTGCAACTGTATATCTCTAAAACAAATATATTGAGTACTAGCACTCTAACTTCATTCCGGTCCTCGTTTACCGGATCTCTCTTTCACTATTTCTGGAATCGTCCCTGATGCTATTGACTGAATAATATTAAAATTACTAGGATACTGCACGATGTGTGGGCATCATAGAATCTTTGCCAGGAGCGAATTTTTCACCTGGGGGCGGGGGGGGGCAAACCCACGGGGAGGTTGTTTTCTGGGCAGGTGGCGGACAACTCGCAATTGACCATATAACAGCATCGAAATTTCCTTACGGCGAGGGGCAACCGCCTCCACCCCCGCTAGCTACAGCCCAGCTAGTTTGTATGCCACATATCTTGCGTAGTTCAACTAATATATATTATATATGTATTATAAATATATAGTATATATGCTATATACTATAGACCATGTACACTGTCTATACTAGCTCCTGATACTATAGCATGTAATACAATCGTTGTGTCATTTCATTTCTGAAACCTATTATCGACATGCTAAAATTAACCCTACAGTTTTTTAAACGATCGATATCATTAAGACAATTTTTGACTTGACTTGACTGAATTGACGAAAATTTTTGACTTGAATTGAATTAAGACAAATGATGTTCAAAACAATCTTCCGCAACACACACACACACGCACAGCTAGGCACACACACGCACGCACGCACGCCTACACACACACACACACACACACACACACACACACACACACAAACACATATATATATTATATATATATATATATATAACATATATAACAACTCTTTCCCTACTATCTATCTATCCGTATAACTCTCTCTATCTCTTTCTCGTTCTTTCTCATGTATATATATCAGAAGTAGATAATAGGAAATCTATCAGTTCCCTATATCTACTTCTGATATATATATATATATATATATATATATATATATATTATATATATATATATATATGGCTTATGGTGTTATGATTAGGGGGGCAAAAGAGCGAGGAAGGAGTGAGTACACACAGGCACGCAAGCACGCGCTAGCTCGGTGGTGTAGGATGAAGAACGTATAGTTGGGAGAATGGTTGAAGGGAGAGGAGCGAGGTATGGGGGAGGGAGAAGGTAGAGGTGGAGGAGGAGAGGAGTTGAAGGGATAAGGAGGTGCGTATAGGAAGAGGGAAAAGATAAAGGGAAAAGATAAAGGGAAAAGAAGAAGTAAAGGAGGGAAGAAGTAGAGGATGTGGAAAAACGGGGTGGGTAAGAAGAGGGCGACGAGGAGGGAGAAATGAAGGGAGATGGAGCAAGCACTCACACACGCACCGAACACTACTATATATTTAAATATACAGCACGCGACACACCGCGAATGAATAGAACTATCTTTAGGGTTGACAGACCAGCATGCAATTATGAATTTATAAGGAAATTATAGCGTTAGTCAACTAGTGTTGTTTTTTAATTAATGATCAGACCCTGCATCTGCGCACCTTAGCTGTCGTGCACGAGGTATCTTTTTCGTTTCCTGCAGCAGCCACTACAGCTTTATATATATATGACAGGTTTGTGAGCGGGGATTTACAGTTTGATGATACTGGGGAGTTTTCTTAGTGGGTAGGAAAATATAAAAATATATATCATCAGACCTATTCTTTCTTTAACGAGAGAAATTATCAAATAAAATTGCCCACCTTGATCCCTCAAAATCATGGAGAATTGCCTTCTCCCTTACCTTCACCCTCCTTAACCTTTCCCGCCGCTCTCTTCTTTCCTCTAAGTGGTAAGAAATCGATAAGAAATTGTGGGGTCTACTACTAGTGATCAATTTTCAGGATCCCTGCATACATTAACATGGCAAAGACAATTGGCATTTCATAAATGGTTAATTCGACCTTTCTTATTCAAACATGATTCAAATAGGACCAATGCAGTATTTAGCACCATCGCACACGAAAGGGTACTTAAGGCCGGCGCACACCAGCCGATTTATCACGCGATTTGATAGGCACGATAAAAATCAGCCGATATCGGGTAGGTGTTGCGCATTCATTTGTAGACGGTGTTTGATTTTGAACCGCGATTATTTTGAAGCGATTTTTGAACAGCCAATAGCTGGAATCGTGCCCGTGTCACATGACATTCAAAATGGCGCGCCTACCATTTACAAAATAACCATTTTATCGTAGGTGTGCGGGTGTTTATTGGAAGGCATCGCGCTGAGCCGATTTTAACAAACGATGAAGAGATTTTTTAATTGGACCGATTTCGGGGAAAATATTTTAGGTAGTGCGCCGGCCGCCACACCTACCCGAAATCGTCGCGATTAAAAAAATCTCTTCATCGTTTGTAAAATCGGCTCAGCGCCGTCGCCCTCCGATAAACACCCGCACACCTAGGATAAAATTTGTTATTTTGTTGATGGTAGGCACCATTTTGAATATTCATGTGACACGGCACATTCAGCTATTGGCTGTTAAAAAATCGCCTTCAAATAATCGCGTTCAAAATCAAACATGTTTGATTTGGAACGATCACCGCGATAAAAATAATCGTAAGTAAATATCGTCTACAAATTCGACACCTACCGATATCGGCTGATTTTTATCGGGCCTATCAAATCGCGTGATAAATCGGCTCTGGTGTGCGCCAGCCTTTAGACACCTGATCTTTAGATCGGCAGTAAATTTAAACTAGCTGTTAGTCCACTAAGAACGGAGATCGATCAATAATAGCATATAAAATCTAGACCACTCCTACAAGAAGTTTCTTACTGGAACTATCGTGTAATGACTTGAAATGTCACCAATCTGCCGCTTTGACCATTAAATAGCACTTTGTACTAAAGATGATACATGGCAACACTATGGTTATTTACCTCGCATACGAGTGTGCATGTAGGTGAAACTGCAGTGAGTTGTGCCACAATTGCGGGAGTGCGCCTAACAATGATCTACAGTACGCTAATGGAAACATTGCATACATTTAAGCCTTCAGCATTAACCTTTAGTTTAAACTTAAAGGTATTATTTCAGATAGCGGCACATCAATGCATTGGAATTCTGAATACCGACGCAACTATAGCTAGATTTGTGGTAGGCCACTATGCTTTAATGCACTGACAAATGGGTGCATTTTTTATATATATAAATATTACAATGTATACAAATTGCAGCTACAATATAAACAATGTTTCTACATTGTAGGCTACAGTCAAGCAATGAAAGAATCTAGATAAATTGTAAATAGTGATTAATTCAATATTGAGTAGATATGGATGTTGATAGTATGATGACATGATCACAATAAAGACAGTGCCTAATACAGTGTCAGGTACATTTAATGGTCATTCATTATTAGGTAAACCAGACAATTCTTCAACATAGAAAATGTAACCCTGCCTATCTATCACAGTTGTCTGTAAATAAAAGTAGAGAGAACCATGAGGTATTCCTATTACGCTTTTAAGATTCAGATCTTCCAATTCATGTTAACATGGTTCGCAAAACGTTTTTACATTTTAAAATACTACAGGTACAGCAAAGCATTAGTTTCTGTGAATTACTTCAAAAGCCACAAGAGCTTTCAGCTAATGGCGCTGTTTCCAGACTCCATGGATATTTTGCATTAACACGCAACATGTAGATGATGGTGCTTAGTTAACAGCTCGAAATTTATTACATTGCAGAGAAAAGATTCTCATGCTTCAAACGATATTTTAGCATGAGCAAAATCAATACCAGCTTGATTTTAAATACATGAAGTAAAAATCATTTTCCATCACTGCCTTTAATATCACTGACTAGCTTCTAACAATGCTAACTTAAATCTCTGGCTCTAATTACACCTGCAAATGGAGGTTATTAATAGAGTCCAGTACTGAGCCAGCTTCTGTACAGCATTGATCATCACTTATTATTTTTAGACTGTATTACACCATTCTTGTGTTTACATCTATCAATACCAGCGCACTCCATAATGGTAGACGACATCAGGCACTACACCAACAGCCTAGCCGAGAGTGCCGCAAATGGCAGCTCCTCTCTTACTAATAAACCTGGGCGTTATGGACAAGCTTGGTCCTATATTACGTCTTCGCCACAACCTCCTTGTTCTCTTCATTCATTAGTTCCAAACTGCAATTAATTACATTAACAGACTGCATTAATATTTGAGCACTTCAATTGATTCAGCTGAAATTGAAATCAAACAAATTCAAAATAAATATTATTGATTAGGTTGTAAATGCAAACAGATAATAAATTAACCTTGACTGTAATCTGTAGGCCCTAAGCATTAAACTCAAACGTATCATTCCATAGTCAAATATGCCATCGGCCTGCCATCTCTCGGGAGAATAATTCACAAGCTAGCGTCGCAATATTTTTAACAGCTCTATACACCATTCATCCATCAGATTTTTTTTATCTATGAAGAAGCGCTGCATTTAGTACATGTATTTTTCATATTTTTTATATGTATATGTATGAATTTAGTATATTTTGCGTATTTGAAAAATATGCAATAAAGATTTAATAATACTAATAAAAATAATAATAATATAGTTGTCTGCATAGACATTCGCCACAGAGAAATGTACGAATAAATAATTGAAAAAAAACAACCGCGCTGCACACCTTACATGGAGTATAGTTAGTTAGTCTTCATTGTATTGTGCAATAATGGTACCTACTAAATTTTACGTTTAAATAGTAGACAGATAAATTCATTAAAGGCTACAAGTCATGAATACGCAAAGGTCAATTGCATAATACTTAAAGCTACAGGTAATAGTATTTAATCGTACACACAATAACTCAATAACTGTTAAACCACTAACAAGTAATTAATTATTTTACTTATTTATTACACCTTAGCTACATTGTTCCTGTTTTAAAAACAAACAATGGATCTGCTTAATATAGACTTTAAGAGTTCCCAAACATTCCCTCAGACATAGCAGCCCTAGCAGTCGCATGCCTACTGTGAAAGTGTACTACGTACTTTTTTCTGTATAGTATCACTTCTGGCTCCAGATCTGTTGGGGGATAAGATATGAAAAGGTCTCCAGCGATGGTGATGAGTCGTTCAAATGCGCGTCAGCAGGAATCTTTGACAGGAAATGATGGACCATGGCCATGTCACACTCACACTCCAGGATCTCAGACTCACGGTGTAGCACTATCTGCAGCCAGAAGAATAGAATATGAGATGATCACAGAAGGCAATGGCATGATATGCGCGTGTGGCACTTCAGTCTATGCTGTTACCCACCACATCATGACAAAACTACGTTATTTGCAAAGATACATGGCTATCGTTACATAGAACCTGACTACAGAATTATTTGGTACACATGTTTAAGATTACATAACATAATGTAATGTGACATAAAATACTCTACAAGTAACATTGTCTTTACTGGAATTAACAAGTGCCGCGGAGCAACAGCGCTCATCTAACGTCTACTGCGGTGACTCTGTGGTGGAGTGGTGGGATTCTAGTAAACCCTGTTAGTCCCAAATGTGTTCACATACACGCCGAAACAGTGGAATGCACAGGGATGGTATCAGGAACCTTCTCAAAAGAATGTTCGTTGGATCGTTATGAAAGTTGCCACGAGATGGCGCGTACGTTTAAGTGTCTCAATTAAAGATAGAAGCTCCCATCGTACGTTGTAGCAACAACTATTTGCAAGACAGAATAGGTAAGCACTCATCCATTTACCTACGCAAGCCTACAGGCTGCAATAGAGAGCTGCCACCTGTAACCAATTAACGCAGGCAAAAACTACACAGTACCACCACCACATGCACTGGCAGTGGCCACTGCAGTGGCCTACGTTACATGTAACATACTGACAGTACAGAATGCCATATAAATTATACGATTTAAGGAGCATAAACCTTCTTCAACCAAATTTAGCTTTTGAAATTTCACTGTGACATTGTAGCCTCTTACATTCAGGCATGTATAGATTCTACTAGCCAAACCGGCAGTCAAATCTTTTCTAACAGACAGTCAACAATCCATGTTTAACCCTCCTCTCTGAGGGTCAAAAGTTATCCGACACTTACTCTTCGCATGTCAGCAGAAGGTACATTTCATGGTCCTTTTCAATAAAGCCATAACAAGAGCGCAGAGCGTCTGGCTCATCTGAGGTCTGTTGCTACGTTTATAAACGTAAAATTTCAGTCGTGCCTAGTACCACATTTGTTAGCGCAGATATGCAGACACGCAGTTGCGTACACATCAATGTTTGGACACGCCCACTATCGCAGATGGAGGGTAGGGGGAGGGTGGGGGATTAGGTGGGGGAAGGTGGGGGAAGGGGCGGGGGAGGGGGTGGGGAGGGGGAAGGGAGGGTGGGGGGGGGGCTCTAATAGCAAAAGCAGTTCACTCCTTTGTTTAACAGTCAACAAATCCATGTTTAACCCTCCTCTTGAGGGTCAAAAGGTTATCCGACACTTACTCTTCGCATGTCAGCAGAAGGGAGGACATTTCATGGTCCTTTCAATAAAGCCATAAAAATGCTAGGTCACCGCTGAAACAAAAAAGTTTTTCAATCGTTCGTCAGACCATGTCCTCAGAAAATGTCTAAAATCTGCCCTGTGCCCATTGACCTTTGACCTGGGACCTCCAATTTCGGCACAGTGATGGCTTTTCCTACCATGATGCTATACACCGACTATCACGAGCCTAGGTCGAGCTGTTTAGATTTGTGCCGCCAATTCTGCATTTCCTCCTATACCTTAAGTTAAGGAGTGAATGTTCCCCTTCTTTTACACCTCTTGACCTTTGACCTTTGACCCCCAGCTTCGACATCCCAACTCGTTTTCGGATTACCCCCCCACTTCCCGAATATCGTGACCGTACGTCGAGCGGTTAAGATTTGTGCCCAACTGTGACGCCCGGAGACGCGACGACGGACGGACGGACGCACGGACGATCATGCGATTCTACAAGCTGCATCTGACTATTCAGATGAGCTATAAAATGCTAAGTCACGCTGAAACAAAAAGTTTTTCAATCGCTCCTCAGCAGACCATGTCCTCAGAAAAATGTCTCAAATCTGCCCTGTGCCCATTGACCTTTGACCTGTGACCTCCAATTTCAGCACAGTGATGGCTTTTCCTACCATGATGCTATAGACCGACTATCATGAGCCTAGGTCGAGCCGTTTAGATTTGTGCCGCAATTCTGCATTTCCTCCCTATACCTTAAGTTAAGGAGTGAATGTTCCCCCTTCTTTTACACCTCTTGACCTTTGACCACCAGCTTCGACATCCCAACTCGTTTTCGGATTACCCCCCCCCCACGTCTCGAATATCGTGACTGTACGTCGAGCCGTTTAGATTTGTGCCCAACTGTTGACGGACGGACGCTCGCACGGACGGACAGACGAACGGACGATCATGCGATTCTACATGCTGCATCTGACTATGTCAGATGAGCTAAAAATCATAAAGGTAATAAAAGACTCACTGCAGTTGCCAAGTAGATAGGCATAAATGGATGACATGCTATGAAAAAGTCATACAGTCGCACAACATGCTTGAAGTCTGGCAATACATGACCAAACCATGTAATTAACCAACTCAGGCAGAATATCGTTCCTACACCAGACCTACAAACAAAACAAAAACATATTATATGCACCTCTATATTACTCTACATAATGAAACAATAAGGGCTGCCCAGTGTCACTCGCTGTATTGTTAGCTCGGTCACTATCTCACTTTATTAATATGCTCTTAATTGTCTCATGTTTTTCTCTACCAATTCTGATGCTATCAATATACTGTAGTAACATGCTACAGTTGTTCTTAACACACTTGTATAAAGTTTTACCTTTCCATGAACTGTCGGAGTTCTGGACTAGATTTGCCAATAAGTGGAAGCATATAATCTAGAATAGTGGTCGTTTTCTCCATTGTCTTATACATGAAGTCCCTAGAATGACAAACATTTCGTTACTATGCAAATCTGCAACATCTAGCTTACTGCTTTTGAGACCAAAACTTAAAAATTGGTGAATAAATCATTGTTACCTAGTTATTCCAAATTGTCTCCATGGCATTCAGGCATCACCCAAAAGAGCTATGCTTATTTTAAGTTTTATGTTCCCCTTTGCATTATATACAAACATTTATAACTACACAGCATGAGAATGGAAGTAAAAACAAAAATAACTTACTTTAAATGCTCATTAGAAAGCTTTTCTAGAATTTGATAGGCTAGACTCTGTCCCGTAACTAGAAGGAATGTGACCGCAATGTCGTGGTAACCCTAAATATAAGCACAACATATAAGCACAAGAAATTTTTTAATATCCAACACATTTTTAGGCAGCTATGAAAATCAGTTTTTCAAACTTACATAAAATTTGCACTATTTTAAATCATTATTAGTGACATATTTGCATAATGTAGCGATGGTGAAAATTGTTAAAGGGATAGTAGACTCTAGGATTTTACTGCATACAACTGTACTCACTGTATAACAAATCGTCTATACTCACACGTATTTGTTACCAGATACCTAATTTAATTGTTATAATTAATTACACATCAACGCTACAAAATTTGAACGACGCCATGACACCCGCGACCGTGTTGCCACCCCGAAAAAGTTGCGTATTTGACAATTTATTTTGCACGTTACAGACCGAGGGCTAATCACAAAAGTGCAATTATATTTATACCTAAATGCTATTTAACCGAACGATATTCATTTTAAGGCAAATTTATCCATATTATAACTAAAACTATATGTTGTTTATAAGATATTACAATCCTTTTGCTTTTAAATTAATAAATAAGAAACACCCTTGGCTGAAAAGTGGTTTTGCGCAACTCATCAGATCGTGCGCTTTGAGTGGCGCCACCGTCGTTGTAATCAAACTGTAGTCGTTAGTTTTAATACATTTTTTAATAATATTTCTAATAGTGATTGAACCATGAAACTTTTTATGTAGCGTAATTTTAACCTAAATTAACTGAAAATAACCCTAGAACCTAGAGTAAATGATCCCTTTAAATTACTGCTATCACCACAGTGGAAGAGGGTACACAATCTGATGCCTTAAAAAGTTGAATATCCCCGCCTTGGCTAGAGAGCATGGTTATTTATTCCGAGTTGTGATCACAGAGAAATATCCATTTATACATCGGCTACTATGTCATAAATTGAAACGGAGAAATCAGCGTTTTTCTATTTTTCACAATGATCGACCGCCTGTGTGCAAAATGGGTGACGTATGTGAAACATCTACTGTTAGTACTTACTGTGACATATCCATGACTAACTGAACCCACTAAATTGGTAAAATATTCTATGCACCATGAGAAATTGTGAGAAATTACGATGTTACCATCGCACTTTTACGCAAAACCCGCATACGATATGTACAGACGCGCGCCTAAATGCAGGGTGTGTAACAAGAGAAATAGCGCCATTTTGGGTCGTTGGGCAATTTCAACTATCACAGGCAGATGACAGCTGTATGAGGGTTGATGGTGAATGATACTGGTTTAGTGAATATCATGAAAATGCTAGTTGTATCATGTCTCTGACGTCATCAGTGACGTCAGCTGCTGCTCACTACACGTGTACGCGGGCAATCAAACCGCTCTGAAAGTTCACATGTATCGTTATATGGAGAAATGAGTGTGTTCAGAGGTGGCACATAGTGTTAGCCATCGAATAAGGTTGAAAATGAAAAATCGGTAAAATTTTGCCTAAAACTTGGAAAGTATACCTTAAAGCATGTAAACACCATAAACTGTTCTCAATAAGTCAGAAGTGTGCAATAATAGAAAAGGTAAGTTTATTTGTACACGAGACATTTAACATCAACTGATGAAGACTATATATATATAGGCACCTGGTAGTAGCAGAGCTCTGGGTTGTTGTGAAGGACCTGAACGATGATACTGACCATCTCATCCTGCATCCCCAGCCGCTGACTCTCCTCCATTCCTACAATACACAGGCTTTACAGTTATAGCATTTCAAACAGTTTTCCAGCCCATTCTCGTATTTTTACGAGGCATTATAATTCTCAATTGCATTTCTGGCATAATAACAAGTGACTACAGTAACGCTAACATGTCTTAGAACACTAGTATATAGTTACTTTCATTAAAAGGGGAATACCACGGAAGCACAGATCAATGCAGCTGATTACCTGGGGGAAACCGTTTCAGAGATCTATTCACATCGAGTAGTACCTGCTTGTACTCTCTGTACTTCATTAGACTTGACTCTGAAAACAAATTTTGTCAAACCTAAAGGCAATGTGGTAAATCGACTGATAGCAATACACATGAAGCAGAAAAGGAATGACAAACAGCTGACAAAATGACACAAAATTCAAACCTCGATTTAAACTCGTCCAACCTATCACACACTGCCACCGTACCAAACACTGTAAGCTTATATTCAAAACATGGGAGACATTCTCAGATTAATCGGAATGTGCAGACAAAATCTGAATTATAACTATATGGTCAACCTGGTGATGGTGTTTTCATAAAGCAGACAGTTGCTTGTGTTTTTTGGCCTCTTCGACTATGCAGATGTGTGTCCCGAGGGATTTTCAATTTGGTGGTTTGCTAATCTGTCCTAATACTGTGCAAGCCATAGGTTTCAGAACCATAAACGCCAGGACCGGGAAACAGATTTAGCCAACAAAAATGATTCTGATTAAATACCAGATATGTAATGTACCTTTATTATATATGAAAATGTAAAAATAAAAACTGTCAAGCTATTGTTAGTGTTCCTGTTTATTTTTTGAACTCTATCAGTTTTGCAACATATTTTAAATACATATTAACTTAGTTTCTATGGCAAAAAATTACAAACTAAAATTATGCATTTCATGCGCCGTTTACAAGTGACATTGTCAATTTAAACTAATATAAAATTCGCTGATGTTCCAGTGAAATAATGTACATGTCACCCTTCATGCTCATGTCTTTGCTGCTTTGAACATTAAATTAAACATTTAATATTCATTTGAACGTGTACACATGGTTGCAGGAATGTTACATTACAACGTTATTCCACAACGTTGTGGCCACGTTCAGGGGAGTCTACAAATTTACGTTGCCACAACGTTGTATCACGTTTTCACAATGTAAGTGAAACATTCTGTTCACTTGTGACAACGTTACCACAACGTCATATATTAGCTGGGATGATACTAGAAATGATTTGCTAGGATTTATAAGACTGTACTAAATTAGGATTTTACTGACAACCAATTAGGACAAAAGGTTAGAACTATGACTAATCTGATGTCCAACCATCATTCTAACAAAAGCTCAAGGCTTCTGATGTATAACAGTACTAGAATATATAACATTAAGCTAAATGCACAAGCTTTCAATGTTTTCTCAAATTATCCAGTGTGGGTGTGTGTAGTATTTCTGGCGAGAAAAGACAAGAAAGAGGGCAAAGTATTTACCTGGTAGAAACTTCACTTGGGTAACTTCAATACCCAACAAGTGTGGCCAAACCTTTGCCCTTAGCTCATCACTGATCAGCCCACCTCTACTGATCGCACATTGCTTCAGGGTTATAACATCAATGGGATCTGACTGTAGTGCTTTGACTATCAATAGGTACTTTTGTCTCGTCGTTGGAATTCCTTAAAAATTGGTAAACACAATTAGTTTAGTGCATATCATCAGCTTTAAACAGCTATAAAAAAACATTTATATGCACTATATCAGGAGTAGATAATAGGGAAGGAGTGTGACATCAATAAACAAGGGAAATTCGTCATTACTAGCCTTACAATACCTACAATTTACTACGCGTAACTCATCCAACTTGAGCTCAAATCGTACACAGTACATTCGCCTAGCACCGTGCGAAATCGTTTCCTCGTATACACCAGCAATCCGGAGATACAGACTAAAACGTACGACACGATTATCCATTCTTTGGCCATCAATCCAAGCCGATTGCCCGCCTATATTCAAACAAAAGGCAGCTATTAATGCGCTATTGCTAACTCGGCGGGCAATGTGGCTCGCTGGGAGATTTGAGCCCCATCTGCTGCCGATTGCGGTTGGCGTGTGTGCATGCCAGCTGTATGCCGGTATGCCGGTATGCCGGTATGTAGCTGTGTACCGGGTCAAAGGTTATCTCGCCGAGTGTTGCGTTGATGCCTAATCTCCCAGCGAGCCACATGCCTCGCCGAGTTAGCAATAGCGCGTTAGTAGCTGCCCTTTGTTTGAATATAGGCGGGCAATTGGCTTGGATTGATGGCCAAAGAATGGATAATTGTGTCGTACGTTTTAGTCTGTATCTCCGGATTGCTTGTGTATACGAGGAAACGATTTCGCACGATGCTAGGTGAATGTACTGTGTACGATTTGAGCTCAAGTTGGATGAGTTACGCATAGTAAATCGTAGGTATTTTAAGGCTAGTAAATGACGAATTTCCCATGTTTATTGATGTCACACTCCTTCCCTATTATCTACTCCTGACTATATTGATGGGCTATGGGACAAGTTTTTGTGTTGCATAAACATAAGGGACAACATTTTAAAAACAAATTTATATAAAACTCTGGATGGGTCATATTTTTAACATGACAGACGTGGTTTATTTCATCATAATAGATAACTCAGCATGCACGCCTCAGGATTTGAAATTAAGGGCAACAAGCAGCCTGCTTTCAATATCCTAACTTCCTAGGAAAAGCACCAAAGATTGGTGAGTGAACTTGCTGCCTACCTTTTTCTCTGACAGCAAGTGCTTGCTGCCTGGCAAAAAATTCTAACCCTGATGCCCTTTCATTGCAACTTTATATTTAGTAACTTATAGATTGGATTTTAATCTGACCGACCTTTACAATATGCACATGCTGCAGATTGCTTTCCTGGTAATGACAAATTCCGATCAGCTTTTGTAGGTGAGGACTTTACTTCATCGTCATCAGTGTGGTTATCAGTTTGTCCTGCATGTAGTCGACGTCGTTGCCGGATACCTATGTTATCTGTTGTGCCACTAACACTTAGAGTTCTATGTTTTGAATCATTTGAATACATTTTGTCCCTGCAGACTTCAGGGAGATGATTTGTTTCTAACTCAGCCATGACGTTGTCACAGCATGGCTATGGGGTTAATCGACGTCCACATGTACATCACAGAAGTTAGTACTGGTATTCTTCCTAATAACCTACAAAAACAAAGAAATTGTGTTATGTTCCATTCTACCAGTGACTTTTACAGGCAAAAAGGGTAAATCCTAAGGTTAGCATCAAGGACAGATTTACATTCACCACTGCACTAAGAATAAGACTAGTGGTTACCCTGTTCACTTGTCACAATCACTCGAAACTTGGACTAAACATCCCAGGCCTCGACCCTTATTTTCAGATCTGGTTGTCCTGTCGGGCAACAAGAAGCAATTTTCACTTGTCCGAATTTTGGTTTTAGTGCAGTTTGTCCAAAATTTACTTGAAATCTAGAGCCATTAAGGTACATTTTTAGTTCAGTGCATATCATATTACAGTATATACATGGAAAATCGTAATTAAATTCACACAATGTCTATTTTTGCGTGCTGATTGCAGCTTTTTTCTCAATTCCAGGAAAGAGTTTTGCTGTCACTCTCTCATACCAGCGGTGCCCACACCCCTACATATATTTAGTAATGAACATGCCCCACGCAACTGAAACAATCGGTGCACCCCCACCCGTACTTCAATCAATGCCGCCCCAGCCAGCATGCACGTACGCAGCCACGATGTGCACAGCCACAGCCACGGGTGTCGCGGGCTGCTTTTTTCGGCGACTTTCGAAAATATAACGTGAGAAATGTCGTGCGATAGCGTCCTGGCCCAAATGTTAGGAATTTTACACAACTGGAATTTTTTTAGTTGTCCGTTCGGGCAACTAGCCAAGAGAATAATTTGTCTGACGAGTCTGGTGTCCGTCCTATAAATTGTTAATCGGACAACCGTTAGTGTCGAGGGCTGCATCCATGACAATAAACGGACTGCCTACCATTTCACATATACTAGTAACTACTGTACCCTTTCCACAGATAAAGTAAATTTCCTTGGTGTTTCCTTTGAGAGAACTTGCCATGGATTCCTCAAACTTCTTAATAAATATCTATGCTAGAGATCCCCTAACTGCTTTATGCACAGGCACTTGGGACAGTCAGTAAAAACTGAAAATAATATGAACGCACATTCACAAATACTACCGTACCTCTCAATTACAGTTCCACTGTTGTGTCACTGTATATCAACTTTACTTCATAAAAACTAACGCCGAACGCTCCCGCACTCGCCGCTGCGAGTGTGCTGTGTCGCCATTATATAATGATAATAATATATAAAATTATATATCAGTCCTTGTGTTTTGGAAAAAGCAGGCGAGTGAAAAATCGCACACCTTGGCTCGCCGAGGTGTGTGATTTGCATCGGAGTGCCCGCAGGTCACGAGGCAAACTAGGGGTGTTCGGTGGCATGCCCCCCTGGAAAAAATTTGAAAACCCTTGAAAACTAGACTTCATGAAATGCCATTTCCAGCATTTTGGGCTAAAAATTAGCTCTGCATTTGTACTATTAATTTTGACATTTTTTAGGTGATTTTTTTTTCATCTAACAAGGTATCAATTCTTGGACATGTGGATAACTTGAATCACACATTTAGCATGTTTAGTCAAAAAGGAACAACACTCAATTTTTCAAAGTAGACTATTAATACTTTATCTAAAGATACAAACCAATCACATTGCGTCATTCTAAGCGCTTCGGGACTGTCTTGTTATAAACATGGGTGATACCGACTCCGGCAATGTCACGTGATGTTTACACCATTTGCGTTATCTTCGAGTTTATAAGGTATGAAGTTAATGAAAAAGAAAACACGGAACAAAATGAAGAAAAGGTCGCGTTTTGGATAATGCTTAGGTGCGCCGTTTCGCGACTTCTCTGCAAATCAAGGCGCGCGATGGCGCGCGAGCGCGATCGCGCACCTTAAAACACAAGGTCTGATATATTATTATCATTATAAAGGCCCCATGATAGGGTCTATGTACCCCAGGGTACTGCCGGAACGTACCCTGGGTACGGTCCGGTATACCGGAACGTACCCTGGTAACTATTTGATATGGTTAGGGTTAGGGAGTAGGCGTAGGCGACTCCCTAGACTCGTTAGTGGAGTAGGCGAGGTACGGTCCGGCATATTAGATAGTACCAGGGTACGTTCCGGCAGTACACTGGGGGACATAGACCTTCTCAGCAGTATTTGTGAATGTGCGTTCATATTACGCTGTGGCTATATGCCCGGCAGCCGGGCACGGTCTTCGATTTCCTAAATGCCCGGCAGTTCCTAACCATAACCCTTGTTTACTTGAGATAACGCTTAAAATTGAAAACTGCCGGCCATTTAGGAAATCGAAGATTGTGCCCGGCAGCCGTCAGATATATGCCGGCTGCTGGGCATATAGCCACTCTCTAGCTGTTCATATTATTTTCAGTTTTGACTGGCTCCTTCTCTTTCCCAAGTGCCTGTGTCTGTGAGGCTGTGGCTTTATGAGTAAAAAAGTTGACTGAAGTAAGGGGTTCAAGGATAGAGAACATGGGGCCCATTGAAACCTATGTCATTTTCGTAAATGTGGGGGTAGCCCCTTTAAAATCGACAGGGGTACTGGTGAGGGTGTTCTTTGTTCATGTCAACCGATAAACATGATGTGAGTTAACAGGAAGTTCTCTATCCTTGAGCCGAAGTAGGCCTAGGCTGGCTATAGCCTATCAGAGCGTATAGACTATACATCCTGAAACTTGGTTTACTTGTTGAATAGATATCTAACTCTAAGGTTGTCTCTAGGCTAAACAAACCCACATCTACACAGAAACACATATTACACATTATTATTAATCATCATCGACATTGTCATTGAGTAGGTCACTTGATGCTTGATCCTGATCGTATCAATCTTATATGTCATGTACTATGTGTATAAATAATCATAGATATATATACCAACCAATATTGGTATATATATATACCAATTGGTTGGTATATATATATCTATGGTATAATGTAGTGTGTACTTGCGCCCGTTACCGGAATCGGTCGACGGAGGTCCGTCCGTTGGCAATACTCAAGATCACGACAAGTCACCGCCGTGCGGGTACGAGTCACTGGTATGACTACGAGTATGAGTACGTACTGGTACGATTATGAGTCACGTAATCGTCACGTAAGTACGTGACGTAAGTCTAACCTAAGTCACGTAAGTACGTAATCGTAAACCAGTGGCAGTATGACGATAAACGACGTTCAGCAATACGGACTACGGAATACGAAGTACGAAGTTAAACTTCTTGACAGACAGAAAGTCGATACTAGCGACACAAGCGGTGGTGCTGTAACAAATTTTCTAATTGGGTAAAATAAAAAATAATTTGCTAAAAACGACAAGACAAGTTTCACCTTTCGCCATTAGGTGGCGGTTATGCGAGTCAAGGTGATGCGAGTGATGCGAGTACTACTCTGAGTAGGTTTCAAGTTCTTTGGCACAATGTTTTTTTGGTGATTAAGTAGGCACTACAGTTCGTTGTAATTCAGTACACCATACAATATAACCCGACCAGGCTGTGTGACTAACGTCAATAATTAATAAATTCTAACCCTAGCAATACCGTTTCCTGGAGCTACATACAATATACAAATCATGTCAACCGCAGTTATAATCGGAGGAGGTATTTCCGGACTGTCAGCAGCGTATTACCTCAGTAAACTACTCACTGTGTCTTCAACTTTTCAAAAGGTACGGTAAGTTATTTCAGGTCATAGTCACTATCAATGTATCATAGTGTACTTATTAATATTAATATTAAATTATTATA